AACACTTCTTTGCATTTTAGACAAACATGTCCAATAAAATGCTTTAAACAATCAAGAACTGAGTTTGTCGTGCAAAAGGAAAAGCATCTGCACTTGGCATCCAAGGTGGGTTAAATCAAGGGCAACTGGACTTGCTATAAGATACTTGAAGACGTTTTTAGCCTCTCATGCAAAAGGCTCAGGATCTGTTATTTATCAGTTTGTTATTTTGATTTGTTGTTCACTCTTGAAGCCCTGTAAGTCCTCTGTTCTCAAGTTCACTGTGATTTATGACACTAATATCAAACAGGACATTCTCACTAGGCTGTGGCTGCCGTGCCGCTGCATACTACATGGACTGTCATAAAAACACCTATCTGAGAGGCCAGGCCACATTTCACAGCATGGGAGGTGGAGACAGTGGAAAATTTCTCTCCGGACGTTACAATAAAATACACATTTTATCAGCTCTTGCACAGTTTGTACCAACATAATAAAGAAGTGTGACGAATTCCTCTCATGTATTGCAAATTAAGTATGTTGTACTATGCTCATGTTACAAATGTCCAGTTACTTCGTAGAATAGCACCCCACAGATGATGAACAGCTTCTGTTATCCTGTGGGGTACTGCCAAAAAAGCTGTTAAAAGAAGTGCGAGGTCAGTCCTTGAGAACCTTCCCGAACCGCCTTAAGACAGGGGTAATGCGCACTTCGGACAACAGGATCATAATTTATCAGACATGAATAATTGGGCATTGCCAGGGAAAATTATTATAAATCTATGCATTAGTCACAGGGCTGCTATCAATCAAAAGAAACACAATCCCACACTCCCACTCTGCCTCTCGCTCCCTCTGGCTCATCTGCTCCCTCTTTCATGGCCCTAAAAAGATGTAATAACAGAAGTGCGGGAGCTCTGGTGAGGTGTTCTGCACACCTGCTGCCCAGAGCACGAGCAGACGCAGCTCTTTTCAAACACGCTTCACCGGTCCAATCCCAGGGGGAAGGAGTCCATCTCCTGCAGTGGCATTGAGGGATGTCCTCTGTGTGTGTCTCTCTATGGACAGAGAGAGAACTATCTGTACTCCATGTATCAGAATGACTGTTTTACTTACACTATTTTTTTCTTATTCTCCCCCCCCCTTGGGGGATGTTTCAGGCCGGCTGTCACAATAGTTTTTGTCAGTGCGTGCAGCTAATATGGTTTTATTAGAAGAGAAGGACAAGGTGACAACACCGAGTATTTTGCAGCAGAAAACAGAATAATAAAATCATACTGCCCTTGTCTATAGTAAAATATATTTAGGATAAATGACAATTATTGTTCAAAACCAGTTTATGAACAGAAATATGAATCTCCAATTCATTAGCAGACTAACGAATATTCAGAGTGTCGTTAAAAGTTGCTGTTTTGCAGAGTAGATGGAGGGGAGCATTAGCCAAACTACTTGATGGCATTTGTTAAACATTGATTAACAACAACAAACGTGTTTAGAATTGCTAATGATAGTGCAGCAAAAAAGCAAATTCCCATCTGAGAGTGTGCTCGTTTTACAGCCCTTTTCTCTGCGCTCTCCAAAACTGGAAAGCCTCCGGAATAATTGCTGGATGCGTCACTTCATGCTCGTAATTTTAGAAACAACTCCCCCATCCCCCGTGCCTGCTAACGCACGTCCACAAATGGCAGACCCCGCCTCCGCCCTTCAAGAAAAACAGGGTCCCTATTTTCTGGGACTGCAGGCTGGCTTTAGGTCATTGTGTCCACTAATATATCAAAGAACAGCTGTCCTAAGGCTCTGTGAAAACCAATCACCCCTTCCATCTGTCTCATTCGCCCAATCTCTGTTCCATCTCCCCCTCTTCAGCTCCATCTTTTCCTCGCAATCTCCATCTCCCTTATTCCCCTTATTCCCAGTAAGCATGTTGCATTGCCTCCTTTCTGTCCAAATCCCCTGGCCCCCTCTGTGCCTCCCAGCTCTGGGATTTGTTGTTTTCTGTTGTTTTCACAAATAAGGGAAAGCTCAATATGTTATATAACAGCCACACGTCTCTCTTTGTCAGTGCATTTTATGATCACTGCACTGCTAACACCTAATGGCATAACAATTCAAGTGTGTTATTTCTCAAGTGTAGTCATTTACTAATTAGCTGTGCTGGTGTGAAAGACGCTGTGACTCATTGTCAGGCTCTGAATTCTGCTGTCTCAGGAATCCAGTGAAGTGTTGCCATCTAAATGAGCCTCACCACCTTGCTTCTTAATTGGGCCCTTAAAGGGGAGCGGAGTTCTCCTTAATGAGCCGATGAACCTTCGGAGAGACAGAGCACAGGGCCAGTGGACACAATAGGGCCATGGGTCTCTAACCTTCATTTCTTGTGGACACAGACGCATGGAAACACACATACACACGACACACACGCACACACTCACACACTGGGGGCTAATTAGAGCCTATTCACACCCTGCACTAATGATCCCAGCTTTTATTCACACACACTTTAGCAGGCCGTGTGTTTACCAAAGGGCCTCACAGGCCTCTTCACTGCTCCGCTCATACCATTCTGCATACAATAGGGATATACGCTGGCGAAGCCCTCCAGCCTGCTCCTTCAGGGGCCGGGATAAGATCTACTCCTTCTTTTTTTTCTATACAAACTACTCCATGACTTAGCCGAGTCATTCACAAAGACACTTGCACAAAACATAAAAACAGAGCCAGAGAGAGAAAGGAGAAGGAGAGGGGTCAGTCAGAGGAGAGCTATAAAAACTGCCAGATCTAGACTCCTGTGTGTAGTTGCTCTCTCTCTGTCTCTGTGTGCGCTGTTTTAAAAGAAAAGGTATCGCTACACGAACGGGGGCCCCCAGCAACAAGAGTTAAGGCACTCCTGGGTTGGCGGCCTGGGAATGATTTAAGAGTGTGTTTGAAGTACAGATTACAGATTCTTTGCACCAAATCCCTCCAGGAGTATCCGTGGCCCCTGGAATCTCTCTCAGGTTTCTTCTCAGGTCCGGCCGTGGCTGCTCGTCCCAGCTTGAAGTCCTCTGGACTGGCCGGAGATGAGGACCAAGGCCGGACACACCAGGGAAGAATGAGACACACACACACACTGGCTGAATGCGGGACCTTTTTAAGAGTAGTCCTGAAAACAAAGGCTTAAGTGTGTTGGTACCTGCCCTAAACGTGTGTCACCATGTGTGCATTTACACACTGGGACCCGTTGTCGTATGTGCAGGGGCAGAAATGCCTACAGCGGGAGTCAGAACTAACGTTGGGAAGCGGGAATGCTCCATTCCCACAAAGGGGATTCCAACATGGAGGTGAGAGTATTCGCATGTCCTGCACATATGCAAAGTCCCTCACAGTCGGAATTTTTTTGCCCAGCACAATCATGACTACAGTCTTTAACTAAAAGACAGTGAGCTGCAGTGTCACCAGTGAGCACAGGAGTGTGTTTGTGTGTCACTGGTCCGAGAGTAAACAACGGGACTGCCTAACAACCTAACACCGCTGTGTGCGATCATACGTTCCCTGTGTCTACAGACTACTCACACTAGCGGGCTGTTCTGAAACGATCTCAAGCCCTGCGAAAGCTCGGCAGAACAGAGCAACGCTGTACGTGGAAAAACCATCCAGCTACTGGGCAGCGCAGATGAAAACCAGCATCCTGATCATAAAAGAAAATCACACACAAAGGCTAGTACGTAGTTTACGGGAAGATTCCCATGAAGGAGCAGCAGTGTGCCCTGTCTGAAGGCATGCTAACTATTCCACCAGCAGTTTGGGACATTCTTGGACGTGCTGTTCACTTAAAGCAGCAGGGAGAGTGTGTTCAGTCAGTATGGACTAACAGGGTGCAGGGAGCTGATGGAAAGACCACTTAAACGGGTCTTGATGGGAATCAGAGCAAGCATGCAAATTAATGGACTATCAGTGTTATCGAGCAATAAGACGAATAAACAGATTTTAAAGGGAAAAATGCACAGAATGTTCTGGGAGATCTGAAATTAAATCAACCGAGAGCCACTTGTGAGAGGACATGTTTCATAACAACACAAACTACTTATTCGGCTGGAAACAATTCGAAATACCATTCATCTGATGAGTGACTGAATAATAACACTGGCTATTTCAAGGGTGAAATTCACAAAAAGAAAACAAAGTGTCAGGGTTACTGTCAAACATCCGCTCATGACGCTTTAATCAAGGGTGACTTGTCTGGTTTGAATTCTCACACCCACACACTCGCCTTACACATCCATGTTTTGGATGCTAAGAAAACAAAATCAGATTTTTTTTTTTTACCATCCATCATGTAGTAATACTTTTTAAATGAACCATTCTGTTTGATTTCTCCCTCTTTTCTTGTAACTGTCATGCCGATAATGCTCCTTTGAGGTGAATTAAAGAGTTGGGAAAAGGGAGCTCTTGAGGCAGAGGCCACAGAGTCAGCCCCATGCTGGCCAGCAAACAATGCTGTTTTGGAGAGCCGGAGCGCTGGACTCAAATGAAACCTGGTGGGAGGGTGCAAAGAGGAGGGGGGGAGGCCAAAACTGGACACGTTAGTTATTAGGTCAGCATTGAAGGGAGAAAAGAGAGAGAAAAGGGGGGAAAGGAGGGAGAGTGTGTGTGTGTGTGGTAGTATTGGTAAAATGACACTGGCAGAGCTGAGGGGTTTCTGCTGCTTAAAGCATCAGCCCTGCAACCTCCCTCTGTCCCTCTTCCTTCCCCCATCTCTATCTTCCGCCTGTTGATGAAACATTCAGACAGGGCCAGTGCCCAGGGTTTAACGTTTCCACAGTGCACGTCAAGGAAAAAGGCAGGTTTTGGCACTGAAGTGTGCACATTTTCACAGTTACCCGTGCATTTTCCCTTCTGTTTACAAACTACAGAACACAGTGTCCACTCTTGCTTATTTTTAGAGAGGGGGCTCATTGATTCAGGCAAAGTCCAGTGAAGTCAACTGGGGCTGTTTGGTGCGACATGCAGTAGGGTAGAGAGAAAAAAGTGTGTAGTGTACTCACTATAGGGGACGATAGGACTCAGCATTCTGTGGAGCTGGTCTCAATAAGGGGGAATGCTGTTTTGGTAATGCCAGCTAAGGTTAGCATCCGTCCGGCTGTAGTCCATCACTTGCATGAGCTCGCACTGACAACAGAACAGCCCTGAGAGAGAGAGAGAAAGAAAGAGAGAGGTGAGGCAGTTACAGACTGCTGCACAATGTCTGGACAAACACTCACATGTCAACCAACCCTTTCACACGAGCTCACACAGCAACCCAAACCTGGACAAACACAAACCAGTATTCACCCCGAGTATGATAGAATTACTGACCAACCTGAGAACCCTATCAGTGTGACGAAAACACACATACACTCACACACACGCACACGGTCTGCCAAATTGACGCACACAAGGGTATTTATTATAGGCAGGCATTAAGCTGATTGTGAAGCTGCGCACAGCCTCTAAAGAGGGCTTTCTAAATCTGCCTCACAAAAAGACTCATGCATACCATTGCTACGTGCACTGGGGTAATAAAGACTGCATTCTTAGGAGACCAGACACTTTTGGGAGCTGCATAAGGAAAATGCAGTTGCAAAAAATGTTTTCTGTAATGACTGAGTTTCTCTTTTCACGTTATCTAATAAATGAATACCTCTGTTTTAAAATTTTAATCATACTTAACAAATGTATTAAATTAACATATTTATTAAATTAATTCAGCTCACTATGCAATTTCAAAGGTAAGGCAAAATGAAATATAGTTTATCTCGATTCTGGTTTGGGTTGCAAATGTCATGCACAGATTAAAGACAGTTTAATCCTCCAGTTTCTATTGTTTTATTTTGACGTGAGGCACTTCTCTGAGCAAACCCATGAGATTAAAACAACGGTCTGATTTTTTTTTTTTTATTTGGGTTATTTCTCAAAGCACAATTTTTATCCACAATGGTGCAAAGTTGCTTAAGCAAATATAATGTAAAAACAATAGAGAGATAACTAAAATTGTCTTTCAGTTTTTTAAAATCTGTGAAAACATTTTTAGCCACACGCACCCATTTAAATGTTTCTGAAAATGTGAAGCTACTTTATCTAATGAAAAAACAAAATCACAAACAAAACATCAACAATGTCCAATACATAAAGCATCTTAACAGCATTTAGTAGAAGTAATGCAACATTATTGCATTTACTGCTTTTGTAAATTATTACAGCACATTATTACAGAGACTCTATCTTTCTTAGTATCTATAAAAACAAACATCACATCGGAAACCAATTTACATTCACTCATATCATATCATTCATATGGAAGAGGTATTATGCAATGACCACACGGCTGTCCGCAGACACCAACAGGCTTCCCGCAAACACACAACCTCCGGCTCCGACCCCCTCTGCTCTAACTGTCTGACTGTCAACTTTTAACACTCAGCCCAGAATAACTAACTTCACTACAGCGGCTAACCACAGCTTCCACTTAAAACAAACACAGCCCTGCAGGCAGAGTTCGGAGGTCTGGGTTGCTCAGAGAAACGACTCACAGCCAGTGGCCAAAGAGGAGAGCTGCTACAACGTGCTCAGCTCCCGTCCTCCTCCAACTTCAGCCAGCCAGCGGAGCCAAGTCAAACAGCAGGCAGAGCAACGGGCAACGGAAGCAGATCAACACAGAGATGCCGAGAAGACAGGCAGCCTTACCTATTCATGCCTGCATGTCCTACATCAGATCTGAAAGCGCTACGATAATCCCTGGAGCAGACCAGACTCGTGTGTGTGCACTGCTATGCTTTTTTTCCACATATGGGACACAACTCCACTCTCTCTCTCCCCCTCCCTCTCTCCCTCCCTCTCCCTCTTTCTCTCTCTCTTTCTCTCTCTCTCTGGCCAGTGACAACAGAGTGAGCACTCAGCTCCCCTCCCCCATGGATCTCCCATCCCCCTCTCCCCTCCCCTCCTTCTCTCTCTTTATGCTAAAAGTATTTAAGTATGGAGATAGAGTGAGAGAGAGAGAGAGAGAGAGAGAGAGAGAGAGAGAATAAGGGGAGGGCAGCAGAGGGGGTGGAGGACTGACCAATCATGCTCTGAAGGAGAGAGAGGGCGATCATACTGAAGCTTGGACACAGAGGACAGTGGAGAGAGAGAGACAGAGTTTTTGTTTGGAGGGAAATATGTGAGTTTGGTTTGGGATTTAAGACAGAACTGAAGGAACAGTGGTCTGATTGTGGTGAAAACACACTGAGGAACAATCTCTTATTTCTTCTCTGACTGACTAAAACAGATGATGACCAAGTTTCTTGAAAGATGTAATTGTTTACTCATAACGTATTACTCATTAAAAAGTAATTACATTACTTAAAGCTGGGGTAGGCAATTTACTTCAGAAGCATTTTTCGGTCTATTTGTTGAAATTCTCTTTGCATCCTGACAGCAATCAATAAATCACATGCTCTGACATCAGATCTCTCGTGGTCGTGGTTGTAGGACTGCAATAAACACGGCCAGTCCTATCATTTCATGAGGTCCATGTATAATGATTGGCGGCCAACCAGCCTGTCTACCTACCTACCTGTGCGTACTCATTGTGCATGAAAATGTGTTTTGGGGGAGTGGCTTTGGAGGGAGGCCTGAAGGGAAGAGATAGGATTTTTTTGAGTTGAATACTTTCTAGCTGACTCTTGTTAGTTTCTCCAATATTACCTAACCTAGCTTTAACTAATCACTCAAGGGCAGAGAAAATATGTTACATTACCTGTTACATTACTTTTTCCTTGCTCAGGTCAGACAACACCCCAAAGCCGTCACCCCAAAGCCGTCACATCTTCTGTATGTAATCCATCTAGAAATAGAACATGTGGTTAAGCAAGCAGCCAGCCTACAGTTTGGAGGTATTTATTGTTGTTAACTGAGCTAGCCCAACCTCTGGTGACTGCTCTCCAATCACTAGCACTCAATGTCCTCACATAGCCCTGATCCAGGACCATCATGGTCCATGGTGGTCTGCTCCTAAAAATGAGACAGTTGAGTCACTCAGTGGTTTATTCAATTCATTACAGGAAGAATGTTGAAATATAAACTCAACAATGGTAGGCAATTTTAACAACTTAAGGTGTGTGCAACTTCTTTGTTATGTTTTTCAAAATCATCATTGTATATAATGTGAAATGTGTGTGGTCCTAAACGCTCACTACGAGCGTACTACCATTTTCAGTCACTGAGCCTCCATTGAAACAGTTTGTAGCCCCTTCTGGGGAGGCCTACCACCCACTTTAAAAAAACCTCTGGCATAGGCATAGCTTACGGCACTCCTCGTAAGCGCACAGAATTTTAAAACAAGACAATGGTCATCAACGTTTAGTTACACCTCTATACTAATGAAAGATGGAAAGCAATGGATTGACACTGACTTTTGATTAAATATAGAATTTAAAATAAATTAACTGACTGGAGAGCCAGAGCTCAGTGTTATATTTTATTTTCTACATTTTATCTGTAACAAAATATTCTCTTTAAGAAAACCTGTTTTGTTGAGGTCAACTTATTCTTAGACCGACAGACTGAGCACACTGTTTTAAAGGAGGGTGGATTATAATGGGAACACTGTGGTGTCAGGTGTGACTGTGTGGGCAATGGCAAATGGTCTGCATGGCTCACGGGTCAGGTAGGAGGTTCGCAGACTTTTGCTTAGGGCTCCAGAAAGGTTGCATGTCAATTTAAGTGTTGCTCTTTAATCTTGTGCTGGTGCTCCTAAAATATTCAGATGGGAGCACCAGTGCTAATAGTGGAGAATCATCTCAAATTGTATACCCTCACAAGTCTTATTGTTCTTATTGCTAAAAAAGTAACCACATTATTGTAATATTGATGATGACACTAACAGATATCATAAATAAGAAAGGAAGGGTTCTAGCCCTGTGTAACAAGTTTTCTCTTTTTAGCAGATTAGGTTTCTGGCATTCACAGTAAAATCTTTCAAAGAGAGCAAAATCCAAAAACTACACATGCAATAGTTCTAGCAAATACCACAATAAATAGTGTTATATATATTTGATGTGTTTATGACCAAATTTTCATGTCAGTCAAAAATCTATCTCGTGGTCAGGTGCTGTTTCCAGTTTCACTTACACGCTCTTCACACACAGCTGTCAGGCTGTTTTTAGCGCCACACTGAGGGCCACATGGCCCAGTCATCTCCTCTTGTTACACGGTGCCGGTACTCAAGTCAAGCATCCCTGTTTGCTGCCGCAAAAGACACAGGATACCCCCCCACCACACACACACACACAGTCCACCACAAATATTCATATACAAGTGAGCATATAGAGTGAGCAGACCACCTGAAAATAGAGTGGGACATTGTGATCATATGTTCGGTGTCCTGAGCATCAAATGCACTAAATCATATGACAGGCATTATGGAAAGTGTTTGCTTTCACAGTAGCCCAGAGGCCTGCTGACATGAAATGAATCATCCTGTACAGTGGCCATGTGAATTCATGATGTTGTCTGGTGAAATAACTCCTGACATTTATCATCACAACTTGCATCTTATTTTCAGAGTTTTTAAATATTAGCATCATACTCAACAAGAGAATTTTAAGATGTAGGAACGCTGCTTTATAGCCGTTTTAACTACAACCTGATGGTGGTCTCATATGGAAGATAAAATGGAAGCAAACTGTCCATTATTAACATCCATCAGCTTACCAACCAACTTCCTGGTTCCACTTTGACCTCCCTTGACATGCAGGTTCCTGAGCAATGTGGGCTTGTTTTCAACCTATCAGATCGCCTGACAGCTCATGTTTCTTTCCCTGTCAGACTTTCTTGTATCAGTGTCAGCGTGTTCCCGGGTCTCACCAATTACTTTAGTGAGTACAATGTTAGAACAGACACAGGCCAAAACTTCAAAAATCAAAGTTGTAATAAGCCGCAATTATTCTTTAAACGCATGACCTCTGATTATTCTCTCGTAAGACATGTGGGTTGAGCTATTTTAGGAGATGCCCCAGTGGTCAGTGACATGGCTCAAATTGGAATGTAGGGCAATAAACCCATTGGAGGAAACACTGCAACTCATTAGAGTGGTTACAAAACTTAACACACCCAGTGAGTCCCAGTTCAGAACCACAATTAGACTCTTTAATGTTTTGCCTAATATGGGATCCTCAATGGACTTGCTAATGGTGTCTCTGCAGGGGGTTAGGTGAGGGTACGGTTGAGTAGGGATGTTGAAAGCAGACAACTCTGGCGCTCTCTCTATCACTCTATTGCCTTATTAGTGCTGAGGCAGCAGTGTGTGGACACAGGCAGCCTGCTGAGCCCAGCACTACTGAAGCACAAAGACTTCAGGGCCCCAGGACACGAGATGAGCCAAAAACTGAGAAAAATAAGACTGAAAGAGACAGAGCAGGTACACCTGAACAGACCAGTTCCTGCGTCACATGAGTGATTTTGACAGGTGTCAAAAAAGATCCTGCCCCCACCTTTTCTGACATGCATTAAGATATTTCTGCACACTTGTGACAGCTCAGTGATCTCCACGCATCCACAGGACATTCAGCTCTGGGGGACATGGCTTACTGTCAGGACTGGGAGCATGCATAGGTGCCTTGTGCTGGGAGGTTAATGGAGAGATATTAGAGGCAGACAAAAGAACCATGGCAGGCTGAAAATGACTGAATGGACAGAGGGTGCAGGTCAACACGCTACTGTTCAACCTAATACTCCGGCATGTCAACTCAACACCTCCAATCAGCAGGTTGTTCGCTCAAAGATGAACTATGTTAGTAAGTCAGTTGGTTTCATCAAGCCAAACTGATGAATCGAGCTTATATTTAATTAGGTTAAATGAAAATCAGCGAGTGAGTGAGTCAAAGTTGTATTTATATGAAAGTAGAGTAGGATAGACTTCCTGCACTCCTTCACACCCAACATCAGAACGTGCATGGGCAAAGTTACTTACTACAAAATCACAATGCTAGTGCAAAGCGCAACACCATGTATGTAACACCTTGTTCAGACAGGAGGCAGAAGCACAGTGCAACAGCCGCGATGTGTAAATTCTCATGCGAACATGTCGCCTGACTGTTCACAGTCAAAAGGCGGTTCTGCTCTTCTCGTTATGTGGAAAATATGTGGAATAAGTACATCATTTAAAAAACGCAATCACAAACAGCAGTGATATTACCTAATAATTATAGTGTATGGGCAGATTTTGAAATTTCATCATGGAAACAAATCAGCAGAATTGAGGGGGTTAGGTGCAGGAAAATCAAAAGGGTTAGCAAGCATGGGATGCATATTTTATCATTTTCAGAATCAGATAATTTATATCATATCATATATATAATTTATACTGTTTATAATAGATTATCAGTGTGTCTTCTTGCCAGACTCAATCGCGAAAATATTCACCAGAAAACAGACCGGATGCCAAAACAATCGCTGGATTTGTCAATCTAGGTGGCAAAAGGAAGCAGGCAGCGCTTTGCAGCACTTCCGCCTCCTGCCTGTCTGATGTACGGACCATGATGGTGTACCCCAGCTGTCATATCCGCACAGTGTGGTTGGGTGAAGTGGATTATAAATATAAATAGCAGGGTGCGGTGATCAATATATTTTCAGCCAGTCACATTACATGTGTCATACCACTGAAAACACTGGAAATACACGGACCAAAGAATGTATGTAAATGATGTAACTAGTGACTCTGTTTGCATTTGTAGCATCATACAAATATTTTCTTTATTTTGAAAAGCAGCTTAACTAATATCATATTCAAGCTGTTGGGGTCAATAAACATGTTATTTCCTGTCAAAGTTTTAAAATATACTTGCCAATCAGCTGTTGTTCAGGTAATTCAGCAAAATATAATAACTATGCGAAATTACATATTTGCAAAACCCCACAAAAAAAAACTCAAATATGTTTGAAGATTTTCAGAAAAATAAGATCAGTAATGCATTATAAGTGGAATGATGATTTTATTATTTTTTGCCCAGCGAACATACTTAAAAGCCAATGAACCTGTGTCATTAAAAGAAGTCCACAGAGACAGTAATAGACATTATAGATAACCGTTGAGGTTGGAGGCTCGGGAATCTGATCTGGAGGCTGTGAACAGCTATATGAGCTGAGTGGACCAGGCCTCGGGTAGGAGACACAAGGTCTGACCTCAGGAGACTAATTGCTTCCAGGAGTGTGGACCGGCCAGACCAAAGCACTACTTAAGGGAAACTAAACATCCAAACTCAATCACGTAAGCCTGCGAGCAGAGAAAAATGCCACAAAAATATTGTATATTTTGTTTTTCAAAACACACATAAAATGTAATTTCCAGAATTCCCTCTCGTGTCACAGCATCAACGAAGCATGAGTGTTTGAGAATATGATGTTGAAAAGCAATCCACTGACACTCCTGAAAGTTGAGTTTGTACAATTTACTTATGCTGAAGAATGTGTGTAAGGATTGTGCATGCTTTTGTCCAGAAACAATCCACAAATGTCTGTGCATGTGTGATGGTAGTGATAATCAGTTCCAGGCTCCCAAAGTTGTCCGATATCATTTCATGAGAGCAGAGGAGCGAGGGCTGGGGCTTTGGCCGAGATTAGGGCAGAGTGAGAAACTCTACCCTAGCCCCAGTTGCCCTGAAGAGGGCTGGCTAAGCAGTGGAGGAAGGGACAAAGCGTGTGTGTGTGTGTGTGTGTGTGTGTGTAAGAAAGAGCCGGACGGGGGGTGGTCAACAGGATTATTAGTGGGAGGTTCAGCTGTTTATTATTCCAATTCTATCTCTAACAGCTGAAAATTGGAGAATTAGACGGCAGCCCTGAGCAACCTGGGGATCAATGCAGGGGGGTTAAACCCCCGTGGCATGGCTCCACACACTCTCAGATACTGACGCAGCACATACACACACACACAGCACAGAGGTCATTCACAAAACTTACCAGACACATCAGATTTACCGCTCTGAAGTGATAAGACACTCACGGACTTCACAGGC